AAAGACACTTTAAAACTTTAATGTGTTGTAAAATACACTTAACAAGAATGATTAGAAGAACTTGGAAATAACGGAGAAATATGCTCCATTTACTCTATAAATACTATACCCATAAATCAAATGGTATTTTTAATTTGTTGAAATTTTTGGGACTTACATAACTTCTCGCTAGTTGCATTTAGAAAAAAATATTGGGCAAAACCCTCACAAGACCTTTTTAATGGAATTTTCTCCTTTAAGTGTAGCATACTAGTTCTTTGTGGATAACTAATCATGTTTCACTGTTTTGCATCTTGAGTTGCACTCCAGTTACGTGATATATCAGTAGTCATGAGAACACCAACAGCAGCGTGACTAATGGTATGGGAGCAAAGTGGCTGTGCTGCAGTGGAATGGTGTCTGAATTTCTTTTCTCATTTAGAAATTCATTGTTTCTCAAAATTTTTAAGTTCGAAATGTCATAGACTGAGTCCTTTCTGTATGCATTCACATAATCTACATTATTCACAATTTATGTATTTGAAGAAAAACATACTTTTTAGTTTAGTTAGACAGCTTTGTCTGGCTGAGCCACATAAGTAGTTTTAGATATATTTGAGTCTTTAGCTCTCTGTGTCCAGCAATGAATTACAGCACGTAATGCACAAATACTGTTCGATACATAGTCTTCACTGGTCATCAAAAATTGAGGATCCGTATCACTGTGGGAACAAGAGCAGTCAACATCTGCGTTATACAAATACTGCTTTTGCACTTCAAAACATTACTAAAACATAAATGTCTGCATAATTTAAGTTTGTTACTGTCATACACATACATTTTACTTAACAAAGTGCATGCTAATGCAGAGTTGTTTTGTTTTCAGAGTGATTATGTTGCTTTACCATTAATTCATGTATGTACTGTGACAAGATGTAATGGCGTATCATGTTGCTTTAATGTAATGAATCCAGTACTCCCAGCTCTTGAGTCGTGTTGCTGGAAATGATTACATAAAACAGAAATGACTGTGACTAAAGCCCTTGCAAAGCTTTAGAACTCCTGCACATTATAAGAAGCTTTTCGAGGGGTGGTTAGAGTAACTTCTTAAAAATTTACTGTAGACTTCCCTTGGTAAAATTTTTACTCTTTTCTGACTATTTTTTGCATTCCAGTGAAATTTGCATTATCTTTTAAACATTGCAAAGGTTTTGCTATAATTTTGTGCAGATGTGTATGTTAAGTGAACATGATGTGCTTATTTGTTACATTTATGCTACTTTTCTTTTTTTCTTTATCTGGATAAGATGGATGAAATTATGTATTAAATACAAACATCAGTCATTTATCCATGACCATTCTCTGCAGGTCCTGTAAGACTGCAAAGATTGCTTTTAAAATGACGGTGATTGCAAAGGTTTCCAAGTATTCTCTAAGTCTCAAAGCCATAAAACTCAAAGTTCTAAACTGTTTAAATTTCACCCTGTTCTTCCTAAGACTCTGGCAGCTTTTCTCTGAGTTGATGTACCTTGAGCAGAAAGTTCACCGTTTATTCATATACTCAGCATTTGAAGAAGCAAGGATAATATATCTTATAAGAATGACCTCACTTCAAAAAAAAAAAGCCTCATCTTTCCCATTTCTGTTAACTTTCTTTAGGTTTTGTCTTTCTGGTAGATAAACATAGCACTTGAGCTACTGCAATGTATTATTTATTTCACATATGTAGCCAGGAAAATGCTTTAAGGACTTTCATTTTTGCACAGATAATTCATGTTCTTATGTTGTGCAGCTGGAGCTGTTTACAAATTGTGTGAGTGAGATATTTCAAGGATTGTGGTGAGATAGTTTAAGATAAAAATATTTTTATTAAGGGAAACCTCTTTTTTCCTCCATAGGCATATCTGAGTATTACTACCAACTATGTCTCTTTTTTTGAGTTTGAAATAATTGGAGGAAGTTGTTGGGTTGTTTTTTTAATAAGGAGAAAAATTTCTTTTTTCTTAGCAGTGACATTTTAAAATAGAAATTATCAATATAATGCACCACTGTTCAGTCAGAGAGCTGTGATTTAAATTGATTCTTTTTTTTTAGTCCAAGTGCCCTCAGGCTATGTTCATTTGAGTAAAAATGATACATTAAATATGTAATTAGATTCAACAGTATTTCTAAAACTAACTGCATCTGCACTCACTAAGACGTTACTTTAATTTGGAAATAGTTTAATACATTGGTTTTACCAAAACCTGTCCTAAAATGGTGAGAATTTCCAAAATACAAATAATACTGTTTCTTATAAAGACTATTTCTTCTCTGCATATGCATGTGCTGGGCTTTTATTACAGTGCTCTGTTTTGCCTGTGATATATAACTCATAATTCTGAAATATTCTTAACAAAATGCCTGATTTTTAGAACATTAAAATTCTGTAGAATTTGGTGGGACTTCTCATGTACTTGGACTTGGGCACATAATCTTCAGGTGGAGCCAAAATTTTCCTGTGAGCAGTAACCACATTAGTAAGTTATTTACACAATTGTAATTGATAACATAGGACCCAAACCTACCCTCCTTGCCTAGATGAGGAATCCTTTTTAATTTCAGATAAATGCTTTGGGATGTCCAGAGGGAGGTGAGGAAGGAGCAGGGGACAAAACACCATTCATGAATTGGGCTTAAAGCTCAGGCACATGGATTATGTCCTGTTTGGTTTTTTTTCCAGCCATGTACACATAACACCATTCATTCTGATTGTTATCCACACATCCAGCATCTTTGTATGTAACAGGGCTTTTTTTAATACACTCTGATGGCTGTTTTGTGTGGTTGCACTTCTTAGTGGTGAAACCCACCCCATGATCAATTTACTAAGTCAACACGCTTCTATGAAATCCTAATGGTGAGAAAATGTTACTTGGACAAACTCAAGCTGAGTTTCTATTTGAAATGAAATAAAGCCAAGTACGTGAATGTCAGCAAACTTGTTTATAGGGGTGGGTGGTAAAGCATACATTATTTAGAAGGTTGAGTCATGAGGCTGGTTGGGTTTGTCATGTTACATCTGGCACGTCAGTCAAAGCTGGGACAGCTGCCACCTGTCACAAGTGTTCCGGTGGGGCATTGTCCGGTGTTAGCAGCCAGCAGCCCCCAGCAGTCTGGGGAGGAACACTTCACCTGGGCCTGGGCTCATTTTCAGCATTATCATTGCAACCACTTTTGGGGCTCCTTTGCAAAAGAATGTGGTTTCATTTCACAGAACATCTGATATTTTTCCTATCTGTTATTAGAAAAAATATTTGAATACTAGTGGTGTAGTTTGTTAGTTTACAGAAAAAAAAATGCACTTGCTATTACAAAATGTTTTACATCTGTTTTGCTGTATGCTTTGCTTCCAAACCACCTTAAATTACTTTGAAACGTGATGTCAAAAGTCGATATACCGTCAAAGCAAAATTCGGTAAATATGGAGAACAGCACCATCCACAGTGTCCTTATTAATTTTCTTCATACAGTGCCACATGAAAGATGTGTATGCACTAAAAAAATTAGTGAAAATTATATTTATCACTACCAAGTCCAAATCTCTGTGTTTGAGCTTCCATTATACTTAAGCCACTATGCTTGTACTTGAATTCAGTAAAGTAGAACTTGTGATAGCCAATTGTAGCAAATGTCCTTCTTTAGCAAAATTAATGGACATTTTAATTGAAGCTTTGCCCTTATGCTCAAAGATGAATTTTGTGATTTACTGAAAGTCAGATACTTTAATTATGTCTCTTCAATTTATATTTTGTAAAAAATAAATTTAATTTTGTGTTTCAATCCATATAACTTCCTATTGCTCACCACCTGAAATAATCTCAGTTGGTTCCTTGGGTTAAAAAGAGGAAACAACAAAACAAAAACTACTCTGGGTCTCCTGACAAAATAAATACTAGCCTCAGTTTTTGATAAAAATGCATCCCCTGCATGTATTTTGGCAGGGAAAAGGAGGTTGAGTACCAGGGGCTTTTGCTTTCTTATAGAGCTGGAATGTCTCCCAATAAGTTCAGGGCATGAATCTGCTGGTGAGCTCTTCTTTTGAGACTTGTAGTTTACACTTGTTGTGAAGCAGGATAAGGAGAGGAAAAAGAAATCTCTTTTAGGAATTTGGAAGGCATGTTAATCAGGCTCTGGAGGACAGGAACAATAATTCTACCTGCCTGCTGTGGCAGAGAATGTGCAAAAAAAATTGTGCTTCCTGCCAACAATAAGGGGCATGACAAAGCAGGGTAGATGAGGCTTATTTATGGTGAGATGCAAGTCATGGCGGAGATCACATGTCAGGACATAATTATTTAGAAGTATTTATTTTTATTTCTTTTCAGCTTTTTGGATACCAGTCCAAATTTCTCTGTCTGCAATGTGTGTATGTATGTGACAATAAGGAAAGACAAGAATGTTTGACTTCCTTGTGTCGTGTGACTACTTTGACTTAATGATTACCTAGTGTCTGAAAAATTAATTTGTTCTTAAGCATGAAATTCACAGACAGGAGAAATATTTCATGCAAAGTTTTTCTTAAGTTGGGTTAAAGATTCTTAATTTAATATTTTGAGTATTCATTGTTGGTTTACTAAATTGCCATTCATTCTAATTTGAAAGAGAGTGACAATTACAATAACATCACTATAGAACTCTCACTGATTTCTAGGGAACTTTGATGGCAAAAGACATCTTTCGGTAATAAGGAAATTGTTTTATTGTGAGATTAAATAACTGGTCTGAGAAGATATTTTAATTGCATTTTATTATTTTCCTTCTAGCTTTGCAATATGTTCCAGAAGATAACACACATACAGAGAGACTCTAACTTTCCATTTATGTGTCAGATCAGTGATGAGTTGAGAGGACATGCCCTTGAGAAGCTGTTCATATATTTTACCAGAAGTTTTGTTCATGTGTCGATGAAAAAATAATAGAGCAAAGGTTCCGTTCCCACTAAAGGATGTTACAAATCTTTCTTTGTTTAAACTTCCTAGGTTTTTATCTCTCATTGGAGGAAATGCAAATGACATAGGAAAATCAGATATGCAGCAAAAAGTAAATGTGGTAATTCAAAAGGAAGGACTGGAAGGCACAGCTAAAAAGCTCAATACTACTGTGAACACACTGCAGCTGATCATTGATGGTCTCACTCAACCTGAAGACTACGACATCCGAACAGGTAAACTTCAGTTTGGAAGGTTGTAATATCAGTTTGTTTGTTCTAAATATTAGTTTTAAACCAGCACATTTTCTTCTTCAAAAATCAGTAGTAGGTTTTCACGGACGTGTAACTCCATTTAATTTCTCAGTCAAAGTAAAGGCTATATCATAGTCAGATGTTTCTTTTCAGTTTTGTACATAAGTGTGAATCCTGTCTTAAATCATGGCATTTTCAGCCATAGGAAGGGGAGTTGTATGGCTGTTAACAAGTGAAATAATTTCAATATGTTGACTCTCTGCTGATTGAATCTCTGTTGGCTCTCCATCATAGAGGGGAATGCTGAGACCAAGGTGAAACAGTAGCAATAAAGTTCTGTGGAGCAGTCGTGTGTAGCTTCGCTCTTTTATTGCCTTGGTTTCTGGGAGGCCAGTGTAACTGAAGCATGTTGGCTACCCTGGTTAAAACCTGCAGTGGTACTGAATACTTTGAGGTAGAGGAAAAGAAAGATGAAGCAAAACATTTGGGGATGCTGTTTTGTAATGAAACTTACAGCTGGATTCTCTTACAACAGCAGGAAATAGACAGCAATGATGCAGGCTTGTAATAACAAATAATGAACCTATACTTAATTAAAAAACAGACAAACCAACATTTCTGTCCCTCTTTTTTAGTTCATTAATGGTTTCCGTGCTTATTTTTTAATTCTCCACTTGTGATCTTGAAAATGTGTATTTTCTGTTCTGGTGATCTTACATCTAAATTACAGCAGGACAGACTATTAACAGAGGAAGACATAAAAGCAAAAGAGAGAATCTTCAGTGGAAATATTAATATTCTGATGATCTAGGATATTCAGTATTACTTTAGACAGACTGTGATTGGAGAAGGCCTAGTAGACTTATGGATTGTCTCCAATGTATGGATTTCTCCATCATGAGTTCTTCCCATGGGCCCCTTGCAGTTCTTCATGAACTGCTCCAGTATGGGTCCCTTCCGTGGAGTGAAGTCCTTTAGAAACAGACTTTCATTGTTCCCTAGTGAGATCACAAGTCCTGCCAGAAAACCTGTGAGTGAGTTTGCCGCAGGGTCACAACCTTCTTTCAAGCATCCACCTGTTCTGGTGTAGGGCCCTCCATGAGCTGCTGGGGAATTTCAGCTCTGGCATCTGGAGCTCTTCCTCCTTCTTCCCTTGGTGTCTGCAGAGCTGTTTCTGTCACATATGCTCACTTTTCCCTCCTGGGCTGCAACTGCTGTTGCACAGGGATTTTTTTTCCCTTTTTTTAAGTGCCAGAGGCACTTAGCACTATTGTTAATGGGCTCAACCTTGGATAGCAGTGGGTCTATTGGACACAGACAAAGCTGCAGAAGCCACTGCTCACAGTAGCCCAGACACACACCCCTCCCAAAACATTGCCATGCAAAGCCAGTGCAGATCCACAGACTGATTAAATTCCAGTGGATTTTAGCTATGTACTTGTTCAGGCTGAATTTTATTCTCAAAAGCAAGCAGAGAAAAATTATTGCAGTTCTGGTTTGGTGATGTTCCTTGTGGAAAATCTCAGTCCTTGGAAAGGTCAAACAGTGATAGGAAAAGATTGAAAGAAGTTGTTGAGATGACTCAGAACGGTTTTCTGAAGGAGCAGAAAATGGTAGGGAAATAAGAGTTTAACAAAATCTATCTGTGCCCTTAAATACAGAATGTGAACATTAATATCCCAGTATAATCCCTGCTAACGATCATGCCTGTGTGATTTTTCAAGTTGTCAGTGCAAAGCAGCACTGTGATAAAGCTCATGTGATGTCATGGTGCAGATGAACAGCAAGCCTAAGAATAGTGCATTGCTGACTTTTCTTTTAGTATGTGATGAATCTGAGTATTCATATTCCTGTGAATGTGTAGAAATTTCTACAGGAATAGAATTTCATGTATAATTGATGCAGCTCAAGTCACCTCAAGTATTTGCTCCCTAGATGTGAGAAAATTTAAAAGACTCTTTCAGTCACTGCCTGCTATACAACATGCTTCTGATCCCCTTATGTTAGTTTCATTACACAAAATTCAGTATACTTACTCAATAATCTAAGTCTTTTCAAGTGATTTACAAAATATAAGAAAAAGTTATCACAGATGGGTCTTTATTTAAAAATGTACAGAAAGCAGTATTTGGGACCTAAGATCTACCTTGGGATGACTTATTAATTAGAAACAATAATCTGGAAGCAACTCTTAGAAACTCTTTTTCTCCGGAGTCTTATTTGTGTTTCTTGTTTCCTGTAACAGATTTTGATAAACCTGACTTCAAAAGAAGCATAGTCTGCTTTGAAGACTTAAGTGTTGGTGCTGTTTTGACTGGAAAAGTTGAAAATGCAACGCCATTTGGAGTTTTTGTGGATATTGGTGTGGGAAAAGCAGGTTTGATTCCAGTGCGAAACATAACAGAAGCAAAACTCTCTAAAGTGAAGAAGAGAAGAAGCCTGGGCCTAGGTCCTGGAGAAAGAGTGGAAGTTAAAGTGCTTAATGTTGATATTCCTCGACTGAGGATAACATTGGATCTTATTCGTGTTTTATGAGTGAGGTTTCAGTAACTGAGCCTTGACTTCCTTGACTTTAAAGGATAAGTAATGTCAGCAAGGTTATGGAGGGTCTGGCTTTTTTTTTTTAAATTTTAGTTTAACAGTTTTACCACATTTCTTGTATCCTTTCTGTTAATAATTGTTGGAACAGTTTTTTGGATTACCTCCAAGCAACCTTGTTATTTTGTCTGCAGAGCAAATGAAGCTCCAGTGGGCTGTCAGACAGATCTTTTATCTATTGTCTGTGCAAGATTAAGATAGAAAATCTTCAGTTAGTACTGCACAAGCAGATATATCTATAGCTCCCCTACCAAAAAACAGCCACTCAGTTTGCCTGTTTTCTGGTTGACAGTCTAAAGCAGGGCTCCTAGTGAGAGGAAAAAATGATCTTTTGAAGTTAAGTGGTAATGATGTTGCATCAGAAGTAGACTGAGGAAAAAAGCATTTGCTAAAACTATTGATGGTTCTGAAATAGTTATCTTTAATTTATTTGACGTCTGTTTACCTGTATTATGTTTGCTTGTTCAGTTATCATGGCTTAACACAGTTGGATGTACCTTGCAGTTTAAAGAACTTTGCTCGAAGGTGTCAAAAGACATTTGTGTTGTTCAATACTTCAGCAAAATAAAAACATTTCTGTCCATCTTTTCTCAGTGTTCTGGTTCTACAAGTAGTTTAACAGTCCTAATTGTCGTTTATTCCAACACATGCTTAATGTGAATTCTCACTGTTTCCTGCTAGAAGTGCCTAGCACAGAGGTTTGTTTCTTCTAACTAGAGACTTATTGGGTTTGTGGTATTTCAAAGGACTTACCTCTTGAGCCAAGTTTGCTATGTATATATGTAGTCTTTACAGAGAGTTTTGTTGTGTTGGGCATTTATTCCTTTGCAGTCATCCAACTTGCCTGAATGTTGGCAGAAGCTCTGGTCTGCAACAGATGAGTCCAAATACACTATAGCAAGTGTCAAAGACCTTCAGTGACAAGGTTTCTAACTACAAATGTCCAAGTAGCTGCTGGCACAAGGGCCTATGCATGAGTTAGGAAAAGGTTAGCATGGTTTGAGCTCCCAGCTCTGTGCTTTAGTTTTCAAAATGATGAGCCAGCTGTAGCCAGTGGATTTTGGAGATTAAATAATCATTTAGCAGATGGAAGAAATGGAAGACAGATCTTACTAGCTTCAATGCATTTGTCCACTGAAGAAAAGGCAACCATTTTCTATTATGTTAAGGTCAGCGCAGCTTGGAATCATGTTTTGCAGGCCTTTTGAAGTTTTCCTGTAATACTTCTGCAAGGTATATTTTGTTGTTATGAAATTAGAAACGGTAATACCGTGTTACTGTCTTGGAAAACAGAGATGGAAAGCAAAGTAGTTGAAATTACTTTTTTTTCCTGTAGGTGATACATTCACTTACAGCAGTATGTCCATCAGTAGAATGATTTGTGTTAAACTTTATAGATGATCTCTGCAGTATCTAAACACTCAGCAAATTAATTGGATTTGCTTGGCCTTCTCTAAGGAGGAGAAAAACTTGATATCCTGAAGCTCAATTTAGTGAATAATATAAAGAGTATTCTTTCTTTCTGTGGTATTTTGGTTGTTACTGAAATTCTTTTTTTTTTTTAATCCATAATATTGTGAGGACTGTAGCATCTTTTACATTTTTGTATACGTCTCTTGGATTATCATGAAATTCTCCAAATGCAAGACATCTTGAGACTGTTTCTCTCCTGTTAATTCACAGGAGGCATTTTACCTACATAGAAGACCAACCCACAATTCATTGTACATACTCATAAGTAGTTTGCTTTCTCCATAGGGTAACTCAGCAGCTTATCCTGTGTCATCACAGGGACTGTAGGAGAATATCATGTCTATATCTTCAAATTTTTTTAACCACACCAAAATGAGGAATATATGACTTCATGTCATGTGTCTTAAATGTCTGCAGCTCTGCAAATGTAATCCCATTATTTGTCGGCTAATGGAGTGCCTTAACTGCTTCCCTCAAAAATATTTTTCCATTGCAATTTCTTTTTTTCTTTGCCAGAACACAGGAGTTAAAACAGCCCAGTGAGAGTCTAACAAGGATGAATATGCATAATGTGAACTTCTCAGGTTTTGTCAGATCTTTGGAGATTCAAAAATTATTTCCTCCTAATTTAATTCTCAGTTTTCATCTTGAATTCTTGTGTTCAGATTTCTGACATCAAAGCATCAAAACCACTTTCTGTAATTCATCCCCCCCTTTAGTTTCTGAACCAAGACATGATTTTTTTTTCCTGGATAGATGCTTTCCCCCATTTGAAATGGTGTCCAATGTTTGGAACAAATTGAGCAGTGCTTAATGGTGATGCCTTTAAATTTTTGAACAAACAAACACTCCTGATTGCTTGCTCCTAAATGCTTCAAAGTACAGTTTCTCAGAAAAATTAAATACAAGTCTTTAAGTCTCACTAAAAATTCTACTTTTGCCTTAAGCTGTGGATTCCAAGGCATCTACACACCTTGTAGTGTAGTTCCACCTCTCCCCAGAGAGAAAATCCAGCCCATTGATCTTGGATGACAGTCTGCCTTTTTAGTCCCACCCTCACTCAAATAGTCTGGTATTTTGCAATCGCCTTCCCCTGATATGCAGACACATAAGAAGAGCTTCTAAAGATTTCCTGTGCTTCAGATATGACACAAAGGAGAAGAATTTTTCTTCTAAGCAAGATGGCACTTGTATGCTTGGCTGTAGTAATGCAAAACAAGAGTTTAAAAGAGGCCATTTGTTTTTGTTTTATTCCTGCCTCAGGCAGTTTTAGACAGCATATATCAATTTTCCAGAAACTTGTCAACCTCAGGAATGATTTAGTATGCTGTTAAACATAATAAAATCAATAGGAAAACAAATAGAATTTCCATGAGGAGCAGACGTTTGGAGAAGCTGGTCCATATGGCATATAGACATGCTGGAATTTGGGCTTTGTGGGGTACTTGTGCTAGAAAAACGGCATACCACGGAAAGTAATGCATAATTCAGGAGAACAAATAATCTAACAGCTTTGTGGTACTGTGTCTTGAACTTGGTGTCTGTATTTATTTAACAACAAATACACTTAGAAACTCTATGCCTGGAAGCTAGAAACCAAACATGAATCATATTTGTCTCATTGCAGAGCTTTCTGTAAGGAGCCTTACCCACTGTGAAGTGAGTGCTGAGTGAGTTCTCAGTTCAGCCTGAATAGCACCTTGCTTTTCTAGACTTCCTGAGGGTAATTCATGTACCTGCTTAGCTCTGCTTAAGGACATCCAGCTTCAAGACTATCAATCCTGTAAGACAGTGGAAGGAACAAGCTCTGTAATGCCAGTCCAAGTTACTCTGTCTCCTTTTTGTTCCAGGCTTCAGAAGGAGCAGTGAGGGAGTTTGTGTGTCTCCAGGGCTATGTAAAAGTTGGGTCAGTCAGTAATTCCATTCCTTCCCATTAGAGACCACCTAAAGGCTTGAGAGCACCTCTGTTTACTGGTCCCAAAGTTTCCTCACCCTCCTCATGGGCAGAAACTGTAACTGTTTAGAAGTGTTTCATTTTGAGAAATCCCTTTGAATCCATACTCTATAAAGCTTCACAAGTAAATGATGTGTCTGTGTTTCTCACAGCAAACCTCAGTGACTAGTTTATAGAGAACTTCAATTGCCTGTTTCCACTTGAGCCTCTAAATGGTCCCTCTGGTGGATGTTGTAACTGTGCTGGCTACAGGTACCTCCTGCCAGGAGGCTATTAGAGATCACTGCTTATTGACAGGTACTTCTAGGAGCTGACCATCTAGAATTATGGTTGGGTATTTTATCAGATATAAGTCACTCATAGCAGCAACTGATGACAATTTGTAGACCCCTGGAGATGAGCAGCAAATCATAAGAAGTTTAGGTATTGCTCCACAGGCTTTGCTACAGCTTCTGCAAGCTGGAAATAGCAAAATTCTGTAACTTGGAATTAATAAAATTCTTCAATCTGGGAGTGACCAGTGCAAGAGTATTGCTTCTGTGTGAGCTTCCACAATGGGGATTGCTGCTTTTAATCAAGTCTGTTGGGTTTCGTGCTGTTTCTATAACAGCATTCTAGCTGCATCAAGAATCCTAAGAGATTCTCCACGCTTTGAAAGTGAGAGAGACTGGTGGCCATGTCCAGATCAGGGTGACTCATCCCACTGAGAATTTTAAATCTAACTAGAAGTTGAGGGTAAAGCACTCAAATCTCATCTCATATGCTTTCTGTCCCTGACTGGGAGCTGACACACATTTGAAATTGATCACCTTGCCCCTTGTTTCACTAGTTAGAACTTTCACCTTATTCATCTTCTAGAATTGAAAAACACTACAGCATGTTCAATACAGCAGTCCAATTGTTATTATTAGAAATTTTTGTTTTCTCACCCTCTCTTGTTCTCCAGCAGAAACAACAAAGAAAGGAATATTTAGTAAACTGAATGACTTCTTTAGCTTTATTAAATCTTGGTTGAGTTCAGGCTTTTAATTGTTGAGACGTCTTTAAGCAATAATCAGGAGACCAGCACATCAGAAAAGTTAATCAGTGTTGTTTTCTCCTTATCTTACAGATCCATTTATCCTGCTACACTTGTATGTTACTAAATGAAAAGTGTTTTTAGTATGCAAACAGCTTAGCTGGAGTTTTCTCATATCTCAATGACAGTCATATTTCTAGGAAAAATTGCATTTATTTGTGGTCAAGCAGATAATTTTTTGTATCTGACTCACAATAAGGTATTTGGAAATAATGTCATGAGGGGAACTGTTACGCTTGAGGGTCATTTACAAAGACTGAATAGAAGTCAAGTCTTAGGGGAAAGTACTTTCACCTCAGAATTAAATGTGTGGAATATCTTGGCAGAGAATGGAAACTGCCACATACCAGAGGCTGTATATTGGCACAATGATTGCTTTTTTTTCTGATGAGGAGAGGGAGGGGCAGGAAATGGAGGGATTTGGGGAAGAAGATCCTGTAAGATGTAAATGGTCTTACAGGAATGAAGTTAGGATGATGAAATGCAAATGGCAGTAATGTAATGGTAATGTAGTAGTTGTAGAATCTGAGCCTGGTTGTCTCTTGCTTCCTGTACCTCCCAGGAAAGTAAAAAATAAGCATAACTATTTGTTACAGCTAATGGAAATTGCATATCTCATATCAGTTCATATTGTAACTAAAGAGTAGTATGGAACTAATTGGCTTCAAGAGGGAGAAACACAAAGTATGTGCTCTTAATTGATTTTCTTCTCATTCGCCAGTGTTTCTGGCTCTAGCTATTTTATTAGGAGTAGATCAGTCCTTGCTCATCAACACTTCGGGGTGAGAGAGTGCAGCTGTCATGTGTGACATATGTGTTGTCTGTCAACATATAGCAGGGGGAACCAACAGAATTTTTATCATTTATACCCAGCAGGAAGAGTCCTTGAAAGACTATTTTGTCATAGCTTTCTTCAATCCCTTGAAATTACTGTGTGGCTGTATTTAGTGGATGGGGTGGATAGATGCAGAGCCAGTCTAAAGCTGAAAATAGCAGAAAATCCAGCTATTTGTATACTGGGTAGATTTTTTTTCCAAGAGCACACAGCTTTGATGATTTAAGATCTATACTGATGATT